CCGGGCAGAGGCGGTGCTGAGGGCCAGGGTTTGGGGGTGGGATGGCAGGGGTAGGGGAACGGCTGGGCTGGGGGAGCTTAAAGGGCTTTGCCCACCCAAACAATGTTATGATTCTACTTAATGCCTGCACAGCCACCCCTGCTGAGGGCCATGTCCCACGCTCTCACAGAGGTCAAGTCCAGCAGCCATCCCAAACGCTTCTCCATCAGTGCCCTTCTGCAGAAAGCCGAGGGGCCACCGAAGAGCATCCAAGCACAAAGGAGGAACTGCTGAACATTAAAGAAAAAACATGACACAAATCGATGAACTCGCTCCACCTCCCTGGTGTTCGGTGCCTTCGCTAACCACAGGGGTCCGCCCTGCTCAGCCACGTCCCTCCAGAAGATGCACACCTCTGGTACCTAAAGCACTCGGTAGCTTGTCTAGCCCTCGGTTGTTGGTCTCTGCCTGTAGTTCCATGGTACGTTAAACCAATAACCTGCTCTTTGCAGGATGACGGCGTAAGGGAGTGCTGGCTTCTGAAAGCAGAGCCACTAACAGTCCCAGTGCCAAAGAATCCAACACTGGTTTCATACAGTCCCAGAGATCTGTGGCAGACATGCCAAACCACCTTAAATTCACAGGGATTCTGAAGCATCAAACCACAAAATGTAATACTGGAGCTCCTGGTCATGCAAGCAAGAGGTCCACGTGCCACCCTGATGCTGCGAGATCACAGGAGCCAGACTAGCGTAGCTGCAAGCAGCAGATACGAAGCTCTACACAGAAACCATCAGACTTCTCAAACATTTACAAAGGACAACAACTCTGAAAGTTTATCCCTGGACAGTCAGACTCCATCACTGATCAGCGGCCTGCAGCGCCCATTGCAGCTTTTCCATCGGGATATATTAAAGACCAGCAGCGGCAGCAAACCAGAAAAAGCTACGTATGTTTGAGCCTTTAATCCCCTCCTTTGTCACCTGTATCAACAAAATATTTTCTGCTTTGATGATGGTGAATAGGCGGCTTTGAAGAATCCTTACGCCTCCAGTCAACAGTCTGAAGAAGAAAGAAAAGGTGGGACATTTCCTAAAATTCCATGGCATGCCTCTGTGGGTAACTCAAGGTGACCGAGTCCCACATGCACCAAGAGCTCCAGTGTCTGGTTTCCCTTTTGCAGGCAAAGCTGAGCTTATGTTCCTCAGTGTGGCCCATTCGCCGTCCCCTCCTCAGCAGCCAGCAGGAGCACTGAAGTGCCATCTCCACTGCCAAATAACTCAGGTGGGAAGGGACCTCAGGAGGTCTCTGATCCAACCTCCTCTCAAAGCAGGGTCAGCTCTAAGGTCAGACCAGGTTGCTCAGGGCTTTGTCAAGACCCGCCTGATCTCCGAAAGCACCAGAAATGGAGACTGCACCATCTCTCTGTACGTGACCTCCTTATATCCAGCCAAAACCTCTTGTGTTCCAGCTCTTACTCCCACCAAGCATCACCGAAACACCTGTCTGTCTTCTTGATGACCTCCTCATAGGTACTGTAGGGCTGCTGGCAGGTCCCTCCAAAGCCTTCTCCTCTCCAGGCTGAGCAAGCCCAGTTCCCTCAGCCTCTCCATGGGGAAAGCGCTCAGGCCCTTGGACCATCTTTGGTGGCCCTCTGCTGAACTCACTCCAGTTTATCCATGCCTTGCTTGTACCAGGGGACCCAATCCTCCAGATGTGGTCTAACCACCGCCGAGCAGCGCAGGGGATAATCACATCCCTCCATCTGCTGCCTGTGCTCCGGTTCGTACAGCCTGGGACGCTGCCCGGCTCCGACGGCTCACGCTGAGCTTTGCTGCCCACCAGGACCCACAGGGGCTTTCCTCGGGGTTAGTCCTCCCAGGTACAGGACTTTGCCTTTGTCCTTGTTGAATTTCACAGGGCTTCTGTCAGCCCATTCCGCCAGCCTGCCCCAGCCCTCCTGAACCGCAGCCCTGCCCTCAAGCGTATCGACGGATAATTAACGCAGATAAGTGAAGATACCAGCAGACGCGGCATGAATTTACTGCTGCTGGCATCCGGGCATCTGTTTTGGTCCAGCTCACTCAGAGAAGAGGAGTAGTGGGCAGAACGGGCATGGCAGGCACCACGAGAACACGGTCACCCAAAGCAAGAGCCAGGCGCAGGCTCAGACTTAACGACAGGGGAATCCATCGCTTTTAGAAGCGGATCAGTGGGATTGAGAGACAAAATGCCGTTGGGTTTGCAAAGCGCCCAAAGCCGCCCGTTCGCAGGCTGTCTGTAATGGGTTCTGCGCTGCGGGAACTTCAGCTCAGAGCTTCGAACAGGAGCGTAGCGCAAGGGCAAGGACCAAGCAGCTCTTCTGCGCCACCTGCACGCAGAAACCAGTCTGGGGCTATGGATGAACTGGGCGGGAACTGATCTGCTCTGAAGCAGAGCCTGTTGGAGCATGCAGGAGCACGAGGGCAGCTCGTCAAGCTCCAGGAGCTGGAATTTTCCCTGTGTTGTAGGAGACAGATGTGGGGACTTCTGACATGCCCGACATTACATGATGATCCACGGCACTGCAGTCACAGCAGCTTGAGTTTGGAGTTTCTGGGAGTTCTGGGTGAAAAATTAAAACAGACATGAAAAAAAATCCTGTATCACCAGCAAGCTGAGCCTGCACAGAAGAAAAGGGGATTTATCTTCTTGCCAAGAAGGCCAATGGCATCCTGAGGTGCATCAAGAGGAGCGTGGCCAGCAGGGCGAGGGAGGTTCTCCTCCCCCTCTGCTCTGCCCTGGGGAGACCCCACCTGGAGCACTGGGTCCAGTTCTGGGCTCCCCAGTTCAAGAAAGATGAGGAACTCTTGGGGAGAGTCCAGAGGAGGGCAACAAGGATGATGGGGGGACTGGAGCATCTCCACTAGGAGGAAAGGCTGAGGGAGCTGGGCTTGTTCAGCCTGGAGAAGAGAAGGCTGAGAGGGGATCTCATCAACACCTACAAATATCTCAAGGGTGGGGGTCACGAGGACGGAGCCAGACTCTTCTCAGTGGTGCCCAGCGCCAGGACAAGGGGCAACGGGCACAAACTGAAGCAGAAGAGGTGCCAGTTGAACGGGAGGAAGAACTTCTTGACTTTGAGGGTGCCCGAGCCCTGGCCCAGGCTGCCCAGGGGGGCTGTGGAGTCTCCTTCTCTGGAGATCTTCAACCCCCGCCTGGACGCTGTCCTGTGCCCCCTGCTCTGGGTGAGCCTTGCTTGAGCAGGAGGGTGGGACTGGGTGAGCTCCCGAGGGCCCTGCCAACCCCTGCCATGCTGGGATTCTGGGATCTGTCCACTTCAGTAACTGAGACCCTGTTTTCTTCACTTCAGGAGTGTTCTGAGAACTTCAAATCAAAGTAGTTACTTTCCAGGAAAAGCTTCTATTCTTCTGCTCCGTTCACCTGTGCAAGAAGTCCTCCAGGAATAGCTTGTCTCTT